GTTCTCACACCATACTAATACCAGTATCCATTTATCCAAGAGACAGATGCAACTGTTAATGGCAGAAGCCACCTACTTGGGCTGGCGGAGGGGCTCAAGTGGTAGAGTGCCTGCCTAGCAAGCATGAAGCCCTGAGTTCAAACTCCAGTACCACCAAAAAAGAAAAGAAAAAATGAAGCAACCTACTCTGCCAAGAGACCAAACCACAGTTTAGCTAAGGATCTCTCTAGGAAAGTGGAGGAGAGGCAAGACACTACTGCAAGGACAGTCCAGAGGTCAGTCACCTGGGCAATGACCATTATCCAATGACAATGAGTTCCCCAGATTCAAAACTCATTCATGTCCCTCAGTAAACACAAGATTTTATAAGCAAATGTGAGTTAAAGTTTTCTTTTTTCTTTCATTTTTTTCTTTCTTTCCTTTCCTTTTTTTTTTTTTTTTTTTTTTGTGGTACTGGGGCTTGAACTCGAGGCCTACACTTTGAGTCACTCCACTAGCCCTTTTTTTTTTTGTGATGGGTTTTTTCAGGGAAGGGTCTCATGAACTATTTGCCTGGCCTCCTGATCTGTGCCTCCTGAGTAACAGGAGTGGTTGGTTTGGTTTTTTTGGCAGTCTTGTGGTTGGAACTCAGGGCCTCACATTTGCTAGGCAGCACCACTTGAGTAATTCTGCCAGCATGAGTGTAAAGTTTTCTTATCTGCAAAGTGGAGTAAATGTCACTGATTGTTGTGAGATGAGAACAGAGTGGCAGAGTGCCTGGAAACAAAGTAAGCACTCAACAGGTGCTTACTCACCAAACAAACTAGCTGATTTGAGGTTCTAAATGACCCACTGAGGAACGTGGATGGCAGTTCCTCTTTCCCTCCCTTCCTGTAGGCTCAAGTGATCCACCTGCCTCAGTCTCTCCAGAAGCTGGGACTTGAGGCATGGGTCACCACATGCATCTTTAATTCTTGACTTTAACTCTCATTTTTAGCACTTAAAGAATCTACTGATTAGCATCCATGTTCAAAATCACAGATCCTCCTTCCTGAACAATGTATATACATTTAATTATGCAAAGAAATTTCAGGAAGTTCACAGACCTCTTAAACTCAGAGAGCAACTAGCAGCCTATGGACATCAGATAAAGAATGTTTAGAAAATTAATAAATTTCTGAAAACTAGAATTTGTATAAACCAAAAGTCTATATGGTAATAGACAATGCTCAATGTCTGCTAAGTACAGCCACACCAAATAACATCTCAGTAAACATTAGACCACGTACATGATGATAGTTCCGGAAGATTAGAAGAGCTAGACAATTCTTATCATTAATGTTTCTGCAGTACTTTTTCTGTTTAACTGTTTAGACACAATAACACCATTGTGTTACAGATGCCTACAGCATTCAGTATGGTAACATGTTGTACAGATGTGAAGCCTAGGGGCAACATGTGGTACTACACAGTCTACATCTATACTAGGTTACACCTTATAGGTTTGTGTACATATATTCTATGATGCATTTTTCGAAACAGATCCCCAACGTTATGTGATGCATGGCTTATACTATGCTCTGTGAACCAACTATTTCATTTACTTTTTGCAAGAACCCATTAAGGTAGGTAGTACAGTATTATATACATATGTTAAAAACTGAGAAAACTAAGGGCCAGAAAGCATAATCAATGTGTTACACAGGAACATGCCAAGAGGGGGGAAAGTTTCCTAAAGTAAAATGAACCAAAAACAAAACTAACGCTTAAAAAAAATACAGAAACAAAATAACTCAAACCACTATCAAGGTATTGTAAATTATGTCTATTAGCCTCTCAGCAGAGGTCTTAAACACACAAACACGGCTAAAAATGTAAATCCTCAGTAACTAACCCTCAGTCTCTAGTGAGAAAAAGAACAGGTGCAGCCTATGTGCTTCCTAGTCTTCAGAGTGCCCTTGAAATGGCAGCACCTTCCCTGCCTTGAATAGAGCCTCTGCCATGCTGCCCTAAGGGGACAGGATCATCTTGGCCCGTCTAAGGGAGAATCAGGCAATGTTATCCTTGCCTTTCTTTATCCCCTGCTACTATTCCCACATACATCAGTGAACACAGTCCTGTTTGCCACAAAACATCCACACTAACAAATCTGTGGGAACAAATAAAAAGTTGCCTTTTCAGCATAAATAAGTTAAAAATTTATAAAATTAAATCTGATCTTGTTTTTTGTGGCACTGGGATTTGAACTCAGGGCCTCATTCTTGCTAGGAAGGCACTTTTACCACTTGAGTCATGCTGCCAGACCTTTTTTGTGTTGGGTATTTTCAAGACATGGTCTTTAAGAACTATTTGTCAGGGCTGGCCTTAAATCACAATCCTACTGATTCTGCCTCCCAAGTAGCCACTAGTGCCTGGCAAATCTGGTGATTTTATGTCACCATTAGTGAAGAACCACAGATCACATATTTACCTGAATATGAAAAGAAAGCTAAATTCTGATGCAATTAATGCTATCCTATAAAAACTAAACCAACAAAAATAGTCTGTTACAGAAAACATCTGGTACATCATGGCAAGACATGTTAATGATACTGTCTGCAACCCTGTAATCTTCTCCCAGCAACTCCCTCATTACACTGGACTAGATCTGAGTGCCTGTAGAATTTATGAGCGCTCCACACATAGGGGGAAGAGGGAGCTCTGCCAACTGGATCCAAATCAGACCCAGCACAAATGACTTTGGCAGCATGAAACATCATTAAAGAACAATCAATGCTGTTAGCTTTATTCAGCATCATCTGACCAAAAGACTTATTATCTTACTACAGAACCCTCTTTAACCTACATGTGATGGTATCTGAGTGCTTCACCTATCATGAACTTATTGAAGTCCTCAGTGGACATTAAAAAAAAATACTGGACACCTGCAATGCTATTACTGAAAATTTACTAAAAATTAGGGTTATAGGCAAAACTTAAAATCCACTCAGGAAATGCTGGTTAGTGAGCATTATGGTAAATAAAACAATGTAACACTAATGTCACATTGATTAGGTAGTAAATCAAGAAAATATCCAGCTGAAAGATAAAATCTACTACTTGGATACATACAGGAACAAAATAATAAAGACTGATGCTTTAGGAGCACGCAATCAAGACTACTAATTTATCCCTTAGGATGTCAGTAAAGCTGGGCACTGACGGTTCACGCCTATAATCCTAGCTACTTAGGAGGCTGAGAGCGGGAGGACAGAGGTTCAAGGCCAACCTACGAAAACAGTTTGTGAGCCTCCATCTCCACAATAACCAGAGAAAAGTGGACTGGCAATTTGGTTCAAGAAGCAGAGAGCCTGCTTTGCAAGCTTGAAGCCCTGAAATTCAACTCCTAGCCCCACCAAGAAAAAAAAATTCAATATACTGGCTCCAGGATTACAATTACACTTTTACCCACTACCTCAGGTTCTACCTTCCATTGTAAATGTCTATTATTCAAGAAATTCATGGCTTCCATAAAGTGGACCTTTTTTTTGGGGGGAGGGGGAATCTAATTCTTGAGTAATTATGACATGTAATACATGACATTATTGTGATAATTTTTCCTGGTTTTCTTTTCTTTTTCTTTTTTTAATTTTGAGGTACTGGGGGTTGAATTTGGAGTCTCCAGCTTGTTAGGCAAGCACTCTACCACTTGAGCCACACCCTCAGTCCTTTATAATATATTGTATTTCTACTGTCTTGATGCTCTTTATCATGCACGGAGATAACAGCCTGAGTCTCCCAATTAAGAGTTTTCCCCATTTCACACTACGTAATGAATCTTCTGAAGCAGTAGCTTGGCAGACAATTCAAATGGAATTTAAAAAGCCTACAAAACCTCTCTACTGCCTCTTACATAATAATCTTAATTTGTCTAACCTATAAGATCCTCTATAATCTGAACCCTTTTATGTTCTCACCTATGCTGCCCAGAACCTACTAACCTGTGCTCCTGAGTTCCTGCGGATCTTCTTACAACTCCCAGACTGGAAAGGCATACTACCTACATTGCTATGGCAACAGGCTGGCACATACACCTGGAAGGCTCTTCCACTTTGCCTACCCACACTATACTGACAAGTCAAAACATACCCAACTCCTAAGTCTTTAAACCCCTAACAAAATTTAACAAAGTGCTACATACAGCCTGTTTAGCAAACTCTCTTCTTAGTGCCAAGAAATTAATACTTTACCCAGCAACAGAAAATTCACCATACACTGATAGTGTCTTGTCAATGAGGGGGTGAGAGAGACAGAGAGCGAAAGAGAGAGAGAGAACGCACTATTCTCTTGCATCATTTTCCTAATGTTGCACACATTTAAACCCCACAGTCAGGTTGTCCTTCTTCAATGACTAACAGCAGTCCCTTGTACTTAGTTCGGAGCAGTAACCCCTGTCTTTCAGAAGCAGCCTCACGGTCCACACCACAGTGTCTGTACTCTAGGGCAGAGCACCACAGCTACTGCATCATGCGCACCTCACCCACCCACATCACAACCAAGTAACAGGACAGATTACCAGGGCACAGCTGCACTCTAACCCTAGCCTTCTGAAGTGTTTCTTCTACACCTAGTACTACAATAAAACCTCACAGTTTCTGAACATTCTCCTACAAAATTTCCCAAGACATTTAGATTTGTGGGCATGAGTCCCAATGAGCCTAGGAAATGTGCATTCCATACTTGGACTCAAACTTACCCCCTTTGTCCCCCATTTCAGTTGCCAACATCCATACTCGCTGCTGATTGCCACCTCCTGCTCCTTGCAACAGCCCAGCATGCTCTCTACTGGTGCCAAAATACCCTTCCACCAAACCCCACTAACTTCTGGAACTGTCCTAGAGGGGTAAGGCAAGTCCCGTATTTTGCTTCCTCTGTGCATGTACTTGTTACTCTTTTAAAAACACATATAATACAGCACATTTTTAAAGGGGCTCTGGGGAGGGAGGTAATTCCTATTTTATACCCTATGGGATATAAAATACTGATAGCTTTTAAAAACGGGATTCTCCTTACCCCTACAGGCCCTCTCCCGGCTTCAGAAAGATGCTGTGGTGGCTGTGATGCCACCGGCAGAGAGCATGCTGGGGGTTCACACAAAGCAGGAGTTGGAGATCTGCAACAGGCCTGGGAGTTGTGGACCTAAAAAAGAAAACAGTTTTAAGTTAACGTGCTCAATGCCCCCTTATGCCCTGGTTATTAGGGGCACTCAGCACACAAGTAGGTCTTTGCAAAAGTCCTTTAGCAGATGGCCTCTGTAATCTCAGAGAACTTATTTTACTGTTAGAGTTAAGTTTTCTGCATTAGTCAAAGCTGCTTCCTCATTTCCATGTGAACAAACATATGACCCTGGCTCCACATTTTAATCTAGGTCCTGTCATAAAGAGTATGGTGTGTGCCCCTCAAAATAACCAAGTTAAGAGGTGACATAGTGCCAAAGCACAGTAACAGTGGCATGCTTTATTAACAAAAAATTCAATGGTATCACACAACAGTAATATGAGTCACAGGTGAACAAACTGAGCTTTCAGAAGAGTTTCTAATGAGAGATGCTACAAGCACAAGATGTAAACCCAGTAAGAAAATAGTAGAGGTTTTAGGGCAGCCAAAGAAAGACACTGCCACTTTCTGGGAGTCCTTAGTCTATAATTTTGTAAAGCTGAAGGCAAAATAAACAAAGGCTTAAAAACAGAGAAGAGTGCATTCAAATGAGTTAATTTTCTCAAAATGCCCACAAGGTGAGGATAAATGAACAGCCACAAAGCATAAAGTTCAAAGTAGTCACTATTTCTTCTAGGGGAAAAATCAGCTTGGTATGTACTATGTATCTTTTTTTAAAAAACCCTTGAAAGTATTTAAAACCATCAGAAAAAGATTGGACAGCAACTTCTGAAAGCCAACACAGTCCTTGTAAATATGAGTAAAGATACCTCAGGTAATACTTTGAATATGTTCCCTTTCAAATATTCTAGCGAACACATAACATTTAAAAAAAACTAACCGATCTCATTTCAGGTGTTGTTAAACGAACCGTTAAAAAAAATCCAACCTCTTATATGTAAGAACCTCTCTAGGAAGGTTGTTTAAAAATTACAGAGAAGCAAAGTTTTTAATGTTAAATCCTTATTAAGGTGTCTTGTTATATGTAATTCTTTTTGAGAAACATCCTCTAACAACTTCTATAAACTAAGATTTCAATAAAATTCATTAAATATTTTTGTATGTTTCTTTTAACACCTACACCAAGACAAACACCAACAAAATGAGCTAATATTAGTAATGTCTTTATCATTATCACTTTCTCAAAAAAATCACTATCTGGAGTTTACACATGACTCTCACAGTAAAGCTCCCATGCAGCCAGTCTCTGACTTCTACCCCCTCAATGACAATATAGATGGTATTTTGGGTTGGCAATCATAACCCTCATCACCATGCCTTCCTCCAACCCCTGTGAGCCCACCAAATTCCAAGCAGTATATTCAAAATTTTTCACCATAAGCATCAAAATAAAAGTGAATTCTGGTTGATCTCTTATGTCAGGAATTCAATTCCCCAGAGTTCAAATTCTCATTCATTCAAGTCAACAGTTTTAAAATAATTAACAACAACAACAACAAAAAGCTGGTAAAGCCATTTCTAAACACTGTCATTTTTTTTTAAATATGGGAGTACTTCAACTGATTATTAAAAACATTTTAAGCATTAAAAAAACAAGTCTAAGTCTTTTCACAGAAAAATCATTGTTTTTATCAGAAAATATTGACAATAACTCAGTTTCCTTACTTTTCTCTCATTACTTCCAGTGGGTTTTTCTGAGACTACTTTGAGTTGGTTCTTAACATACACACACAAGTTTGACCAAGACCATCAATATTCTTGCACAGATCTTTGCAAATACCACATTATCTCAAACTTTCATATGGCCCTTAAAAATACATTAGAATACCCAGTTCTCTGCATTGAAAAATTTCACATATAGATAATAAGTTTAGTAAATTACACTTTTAAATCAATATTTTATGAAAATACATACAATTAAAACTTCTTCAAAGATTTCTTGGGAATCCTTAAATCCAATGAAATTAGGAGAAAATGAATTGCTCAGCTGCAGTAATTATGTACCATTAAACTTTACATCCCAGTGGCCTATGCTGCCTGGCAGCCAACAGTGAAAACAGATTGCTAAGAAATGGAGGAAATGGGGCCAAGTAAGATGCTCTGATGTTTACTCCCAAAGCCTCATTTTCATTTCCACTTACGTGAATACCTCTCTGTCCATTTCTACACTGACATTCATACCATGCAAAGAAGATGAAGTAATTAAAAGAAAAACTTCTTTCATTGTTGCTCCATAACTGAGGAAGGCTGGGATATGGATACCCAACCTCAGCTGATTATATCCATCCAACTAAGGAATTTCACTCCACCACATGTCTCTTAATGGGTTAAATAAGACTATTACCTTCATATTCACATGTACAAAGTGCATTTAGTCCTTACACATACTGCAGGAAGTAGTAAGCCCCGTACCCTATTGCACTGATTTATAATGCTAATATAGGCAAGGATGGTCTTTATTTTAAGCAAAGAAAAAAGTTGTAACCTCTAAAAGAATACTCTGACACAACTGAGTAATATGCACCATTTCTTGAAATCACTGTATACTGTACCCTATAAATACTCACAATTATTATGAATCACTTTAAAATAAAATAAATGAAGGAAGTAAAGAAATCACAATATAAGAAGAGCACAATCATACAAATGCACTCACTTCTGACAGGTGAGAGGAACTAAGCAAACAGAAAAGACTAATTCCTTTGAAAGCATAGTCTCATTTGTCCTTCCATTACCTTGGTAAGTAATATCAGCATCCATATTTGGTATAAAGTTTAAGTCTTTTGGTTCATTATCTTACACTACACACAAGTCACAAAGCTGTAACTGAGTGGTAATAACCTTTTTATAGGTCACAAACCAAGATGGTGAAGAGAAGGAACTACTGAAACACTCAATTCTGTAGGCCTACCTTGAGGACTGTCAGAAACAAAAGCAGAAACATTCCCTGTTTGACTCAGAATGGAATCAATGCACCATAAAGCATTTTTCAGAACAGGTGGCCTTTTCTGGGATGTGTACATATAAACTTAGTCTTATCTTTATTAAAAGCCAGTCATATACAAAATTCAAAACAGAATACAATAACACCTAAAAAAATGTTATGACTTTGGATATAGTCATTTAAACTTGAGGAAAATAAGAAGCTATGCTTTTAAAGTAACAGAAATATTTTAAAGGAATAGTTTTATTATTTAAAGGCATGAAATAGTATACTGTGACCTATCCACAGGTCCAAAGGTAAGCAAGCAGATTTCTTGGCCTTGTTTATTATACACAAGGTTAATTTATAGTTTCACGTACATTTTGTCAAGCTAGCACTACCACTAAAGGTTGCTGAAAATTTATCCAGTGGTTTTGTTTTTGGTTTTTGGTGTTACCAGAATTTGAACTCAGAGCCTCTCGTTTGCTAGGCAGGTGATCTGCACTTGAGCCACTCTACCAACCCCATCCAAAATACTTGAGTCAATATTCAATATTTACTATGGACATTATAGTCAGGCAATATGTTAAGCACATAGTATTAATCAGTGAATACAGCACACAACTAAGTATCACATCACAATCACTATTCTATGGAACAAATCCTGTACTACAAAACTTGTAGGCCTGACTTTTCAATCTAAAACAACCTCCCTAGCAGGGTAGGTCTCTATTTCATAAGTGCACAGGTAAATTAAAACAAAGTTAATTAAGAGGGTTAAGTCTTCTTGGCCAAGATCAGGAAAGACAGCAACTGATGAACCGGGACGGGAACCCAAAAAACCTGAAATTTGGAAGTCTAGACTCTCAATATGTGTAGTCCGCTCTCGTCATCTCAGTTCCAGAGTAATATATCCCAAATTCTGAATTACCTATGTTCAAATTAATGCATATTTTCTCTCTTATGCCAACCCTGCTAATGAAATCTCTATCATAAGATATAATATTGCCTATGTTTTTTAACAAAAATGGGAATGTGTAATTATTTATCTTCGATAAAATTTCATTTTGAAGACATGAAAGCACCTTTTTGTTGCTTTCAATCCACCTCTGAGAAACTAAATTTGAGGGAAAGGAGGCAATTTCAATGATAAATGGAACCTAAGCTGGAGACAATTTTTCTGCGGTCCCTCCTCTGCTGTACTGTCAGAGAATGCATGAGTAGAAACTCTCAGAGGGCAAAGAGTTTTTGGAGAGGATTATAGGTACAGATTAGAGATCAAAGAGAAATTAGAAATGTTTCCCTTCAATTGCTTACATATGGCAATAAAATACAGAAAGGGCTATGGTATTAAATCATACCATAATAATGTGATGGAATTAATTTGGTACCAACATTCATGGCAGAAATGGAGCTGTGTCTTCCACTAGGTAACCACTGGTATGTTCATTAGGTATTCCATTCACAACCAGCAATGCAAATGAATGCTGTATGGAATACAAAGGATACAACAGCATGCTCCTCCATGCAGAGCCCTAACAATGCACTCAACCAACAGCCCACTGGAAAGACCCTAACAACTTTAATTTCCTCAATTCCAAGGAATCCCTAACCAGGTTTAAGGACAGTTTGTTTCCCCACTTTTAATAAAGTGAACCAATAGTTTTGACCTAAAACTGCATTTCTAATAATTACATATCATTCCTGGAAACAAATCTGGTATAAGTAACAGCTGAAAAACCTGTTATTACATAATTCCAAGAAACCAAAACCATACTTTCTTCAACAGTATGAATGGTAACATTCAAGAATCCACACAGCATTCCATGCAAAATATTAAAAGAATATTTGATTACTCATCTATGAATAAAGAATTAGAATTAACTCAGGGTTAGACTAAATTTCAGATTACTAGTAATCTCTCAGATTCCATGATTATTTCTAGACAATATATTATCTTGAGTATGCTAAGACTGGAGTTTTACAAAAAAATGCCAAGTAAGAAATCTTCCTTTTAGAACAAAAAATGAATGTCTGTCTCATTATCAGTCCTACTGGGTGTTCTCCAAAAAAGACTGGGATTTGAGCTGGGGGTATGGCTCAAATGATAAGAGTGCCTGCCTACAAAGCACGAAGCCCTGAGTTCAAACCCTAGTAACACACACACACACACACACACACACAGCACGAAGCCCTGAGTTCAAACCCTAGTAACACACACACACACACACACACACACACACACACACACACACACACACACACAGAGAGCCCGGTTATACCCCCTGCTACAAATTATCCAATTAGAATCAAGGAAGGAACAATATTTTGCAGTTCTTCAGTCCCATTTCTGGTGTTGAGTTCAGCAAAGAACACAAAGCAAGATTTTAATAAATGCCACTCAGAGGCATCGACCATGGCCCAAAATTCCTAACTGCAGTCTGGGATAAAATATTCCTTGATAATCCTGACTCATTCAGAGGAAGGAAAACAAAAAGAAAAAAACCACCACTACAACAACAAAACTCTCAAAGCAAACTAAGTCACATTATGACCTAGAAAACCTGTAAGAAGGCAACAGAAGAAGGGGCTGTAGATGGCTCTTTCAGTTGCAATTAATGGAGATCCACTTAATCCAGCCAAAGTAAAAGAGTTCTGTACTAACAAGGAACAAGAAGATGATATAAGAATGCAGTGGGGAGAAGCATTTCCTTGGCAATCCACTGCTTTCACAGATCTCCTACCCCTAGCATGTCAGCCCTCCCAACCTTGCTAACTACATAAAGGCAATTTTTTTAATTGGGGCGGAGGCGCAGCACAGTGCTGGAGTTTGAACTGAGGACCTCATGCTTGCTAGGCAAACACTCTACCACCTAAGCCACATCCCCAGCCACTTTTTTATTTTTTCGCTTTATTATTTTCCAAATAAAGTCTCACCTTTCTGCCCAACCTGGCCTGAACTGTTATCTATTTAAGCCTCCCAGGTAGTTGGGATACAGATGTTTACAACCATGTCCCGCTTTATTGGCTGAGATGGGGTCTTGATAACTTTTCACCTGGGCTGGCCTCAAACCACCATCCTCCTGATCCCTACCTCCCAAGTAGCTAGAATTATAGGCATGAGCCACTGTGCCCAGCTATAAAGTCAATTCTTGACTCATCCTTTCAGCTCAGTCCCTCTGCTAGCTAACCCAGTTCCTCAGTTTTCCAGCTCCAAATTCTTTGGTTTTTGTTGTTTTTCGGTTTTTGATGATAGTGAGATTTAAACTCAGGGCTTCATCAGTTCTAAATTCTTAAAAAAGAAATGTGACTCAAGTCTGTGATGAAGCTCAATGACAGAGTGCTTGCCTAGCATACACAAGGCGTACCCTAGTTCATATTGCTCAATTACTCTTTTCAGGCTAAGCCATGAAGATCATAGATTGCCACTGCATACTACTATTGTTTTGAAGGGCTAAATAAAGAATTTTCCATGTTTTAAATATACCTAGCAGTGTGAGGTAGCAGTGGCCTTATGTGCTCTGGTTGTTGAACATTAATAAAGCAAAATTCAAGGATCCTCCATTCTCATAAACAAGATGACCACACAACCTATCATCGAAGTTGGGACATTACTGAAAATGAAAGGGGAGGTTTTTTAATTAGTCTGGCAGGACCAAAGACATAAACAAGAACCCAGGTGGCTATGTCCTATATCATAGACTCAGATTTTTATCTTACATAGAACTAGTTCTTAAAATGTTACAGAGTTCAATAAACTGGCATTGTGTTCGTCTCCATCACTGGTAGGAGGCATCTTCTCATCCTCACTTTTCAATTCATTAACTTTTATTGTCTTTAACATTGTTATCTTACCGTAGAGTCTTGCCATTGTAATATGTACCATAAAGAACACTGACATAGTTCTTTTTACAGTTCAAAACTATATCTCATACTCAAACACTCACTGTGAGGGATAGAGGTGGGACTCAAGTAGTAGAACACCTGCTTTGTAAGCATGAGGACCTGAGTTCAAAGCCAAGCACTCGCCCCACCATCCCAAAAAAAACCACCCACCATAAAATGATTCTTGTATCTGATGTAAACTAAAAAGCACATTTGCCAGTTAAAACCCCAAGCCAACTTTTTTTTTTATAATAGCTAAAAAGGTAAAACATGTAATTACTCAATATTTCAAAGCTATTAGATTTTTCATTGCTCCACTTTGCCATGTTATTTGCTATGGGCAAAACCAATTCCAATTTCATTGTTTTAAACTTCTGCAGAAAAATACAGCATATTTCCTTCTGTGAGGGTATCCCCCCCTTTTAAACTTGGATAAACTAGAACGGGAGGAATCTTGGTTTTTCTCATTTATTTGGTTATCTTTTCATAAGATGTACAAAAGCAAGAAAAGCAAAAAAATGAAAATAATTACATTTCTTACAGGAGCAAATATTTTATCATCTCTATTATTCTTGCATAAGAACTCTGAGTATGAGCAAAGTACAGAAACTCAGAACCTCAAAGAAGAATACAAGAAATAGTAGTGTGAGCTTTTTAAAAAGGTATCTAAATATACAGCACCTTACTTCCCACTTGTTTTTGCAGATAGCTTTAATATGTTGTACTAGACAAATACTAACAAGAAACTTCAGCTTTTATTGCTGTTAATATCTAAGCAATTACCGTAACTCAGCAGGAACTTCTGCATGGAACTATCACTCTAATCAGCATTTCATAAGAGATGCTGTTTAAACATGAAGGCACCTGCTAATGTGCAAAAAACTGTCAGAGGGACTCAGACTCTAATAGGTAAAAGAAAAATCTTTACAATTTGATCTCACAGCTATATATTCTCCATGGTACACTGGCATTTGGGTTAGTAAAGATAACACACACACAGCTAACAAGCAGGGAAAAAGCAGTAGTAGCAGCCACTAGCAAAATAAAACTCTTCAAAAAACAAGGCCACCTCCCAAATTTTTTCAGGTGTCAGTCAGAGCAGTTATCTGTTTAGAAAAAAAAAAAAAAATCTTTGTAAAGAAAACTTGAAGAGCAAAGACCTTTAAAAGATGGTTTAAAAAAATCTTATTGGTATGAAAACTGAACATAAAGAATAAACTGCAAGAATGTTTTACAAACAGCCAAGGAAACTTTAAGCATCCTACTAAAAAAAAATAAATCTTAGAAGTAAATGTACAGTTGACTCTCTTTCACTACATTAGTTTTCCTTAGACTGAAATATCACATATAATGTGTATCAGAAAACACACACTGTTAAGTCACAAAGGATTCTGGAAATGAAGGCATCCACCCTAATACACATTCTCTAAGACTAAAGAACCTTTACAAATAACAGGACCCCATTCCAAGGTGCAACGTTTCAAAAGATCTGCAAATGATACTACTTTAATATTATTTTACATAGTAGTTGTTTTGGGAAAATACATAAGAAACAGTGATTCGACCCCACCCCTCAAAGTACTGGGGATTGAACCCAGGTCCTCAGACGTGCTACGCAAGTACTCTACCACTTGAATTATACCACCAGACTTTTTGTTTGTAATTTTTTGCATGTTTATGAGATGGAGTCTAACTTTGAGCTAGCTTGAACTAACAAATCTCCTCTCTCTACCTCCCAAGCAGCTGGAATTACAGGTATGTACCACTACTCCTAGTGTAATACTGGTTCTTAATTGTACATTGTTCTTAAGTGAATTTTTAAAAATCACAACAGCATACTAATATGAAAAACAGTTGCATCGAGGTATGTGAGGTAGACGTGTACGTAAAACCAATCACGTTTATTTGTGCAAAATCTTTACAGACAACTAAAGAAGCCAAGCCCAATGTGTAGAACTACTGGTATAAAACTGAGAGACTGACTTCACAATGGACAATGTCAACACAGCCACAGTCAGGAAAAGTCTTCAATTAAGAAAAGCATGCTGTGCCAGGGCGAGACTTCCTCTTCCCAACTTCTACCTCTGAGAGACCCCAAAACAGGTTCAAGATATATACCATACCTACTGAAATAGCAAAGAAAAGTACAGTTTTCCCCAGGAAACTAGTCTCTGACTCCTTTATATTTCCTACTTGTTAATTCCAAAATTTACTTCAGGTTCTTAACAATGGATGAGAACAAACTACTTCAGAAACAAGAGAGAATCTCTGACATTGTCTAAACAGCTACTAAAGGAATAAATATTTCAGAAACATTGCAACACTGAGTGTCACAAAACTGAGGATATTAAACTAGCAACTGCCTTGTTTCAGTGCACAGCCCAGAGGTGGTCAGCATTGAAGGTAAATGTTATTACATCAGTGGTGATGGAGAAGCAATCAAAAGAGACAGCCAATGGAGCTAGAAACAGAAGGTACAGGGCAGAAGAACAGCACATTAAAAAATGCTTACCAGTTTGAAGTCTTGAATGCTACAGATGAAATATGGTGTGTTTGGCCTCCGACTCTCGATATACACACAGTCTTTAAAAGAAAAAGAAATTTTAAAACAATGGCATTTACCATTAAGGGAACAAAGATAAGGCCCATAAAACCACTGCATAAATAAATAAATGATACAGCACATTACCTTTTATAGTAAAAAAAAAAAATATATATATATATATATAATATATATATATTACTATCCTTTCGAAATATATATATATATATATATATATATTTCGAAAGGATAGTAAATTAAGCTAAAAGAAACACTTTTGGGCTTTTTTTTGTTTTGCTTACCACTTTACTGATAATTTAAAGAACATGGTAATGTCTTAATTATTTTTTGTCCAGAAAAGAAGGGATCCCATAGGACTACCCATATTCAGACGAAGAATTACTTCCTCAAAATTACCCATCAAGCCAGGAATGGTGGGGAACACTTATAATCTTAGCACTTGGAAAGCTAGGACAGACAGGAGGATAGACAGTTCGAGGCCAACCTGGGCTATGTATAAGACCTTATCTCAAAAACATGGGTGGAGGAAAGAACTGGGGCTGCAGACTAGCTCAGTGGTATAGTGTTTGCATAGCATGCATAAGGCCCCAGGTTCTAGGAAAGGAAGGAAGGGAGAGAGGGAAAAAATTACACATCAAGGCAAAATTGTAAATAAATTTTTGCAGCTAGATGTCATTGTATATTCACAGAGAAATGGATTTGCAAAATGCTACTTTATTTTCAATAAACGTTTTTGTGAGGAAATAAAATATGTAAAGACAACTAGCTTGAGCATGCTATTACAATATCTTTTCAGGCTGGAAGCACAGCTCAACTGGTAAAGCACCTGCCTAGCAAGCAAAAAGCTATCAGTCCAAACTCCAGTAAAAAAAACAAAGAAACCAACAATGACCTTTTCATTTAAACCAAAAAAAAATAAAATAAAAACTAATCTAGTAGCTTATAATTTTGATTAAATGTTAACCTAAAAACATTTTACTTTCTAATTATAATTAAAAAAAAAAAAAACAAGGAAGCCAATCAAAGATGGAATGAAACCAAATTACATTTTCTTCAGGGAAGAAGAGTGCTTTCTTAAATTACATTTAGTAAGGGAATACGGTAGGGCAATTATTTTTGATGCATTTAACAGCTAGGTCTAAAAGGTTGATGGTTTAATATTGCACGTTAAAATTCTTTTTTAAAAGAGCAATGATTTTATGGAAAGCAGTATCTATAGAAAGGTTAAAACCCTCCACATTACCAGTGAAGATCATCACAAATCTTGGGACAGGGAAGTCTGACTATTACTTACTGAGAACTAAAGGTATTTGCACTCAGTGAAAAGTAGGAGAGAGTGATCATAATACCCACACTGAAAAAATTCCTTTTGTCTTATCCTTTCTCCTGACCCTTCAGAATGAGTGTATCTTAGAACAACTCAAGTTTTTGACAACATGCAGGCAAATCCTCCACTGCCTCATGTCACGTTAAAAGCCAAGAAAAAAAAAAAAGGACTAGTGATTTGGAGTCATTCTGCCAGTGGACAGTCCAGTCCTCCATAAGCACTAAATGACCCACCCCCCCTTAAGATTTAGATGATGAAAAAAGCCCACACTAAAAATTCTGCATATCCCTCCAGGAAACTTTCTGCAGGTTAGCAGGATCTTTATACACAAAACGTGTATCAGAAAAAGAATATAAATGTCAGTTACTTAGAATTCCCCCAAGTGATTGCTCTACGTGGATACAGAATCACCAAACCTGCAACCAATGCAAAACAGTGGCTCAGGAATGTGTTACTGACTGAGCTTTCTACCTTGTTTCAGGGTCCCAGGTGCTGAATAATTCTGCTTCAACTTTAAGGAAACATCATTTAACAAGCTAATCTCAAGTGACAAGCTCTTCCCACCATGGTAGATACTTCTCTTCATAGCTCTAATTTAAGTTTTAAAAAAAAGGGGGTGTGGAGGAGGGAGAGGAAAGCAGCCTACCTACTGTTCACTGGCTTCAAAACAAATAAGTTACTTCCTAAGTAATCACTTCTACTTTCCCAAGGTTCAAATGATGCAAAAACTTGCTACATTCAATGATCTGGTCCCATACCCTCCTCCCAGAAGCTCCATTCTAGAAAACACAAACCCTCCTCTTTCATGCCACAAGTCCCTGACTATACCAATCTTATAATTAATTGTAAGTTACCACCAGAGGGAATAAATTTTCAAGGCTCCTTTGCAAAGAAACTGCAACACCTCCCTTCTTTCATAAAACATTAGCAGTTCACATTGCCTGTCTGTTCAGTTGCTTGTCAGTCAGAAGGTCTGCACTGTCCACATTACCATCAATCTTGCGAGCTCAGAAAATCATACTCACTTCTACATTCCCTGCATGCATCAAGAACTAATGTACATCATTAGTGTAGGTAAAATAAGATAGAACTGAATTAAATGAAAAATGATTAATCATGAGGACTAGATATAACTTTGTTCTTTTTTACATAGAAAAAAAGACGTATTTATTCATAACCAACAGAATCATTTTTATGGTAAACACTCTTTCCAAGGGCTGGTGGAGTGGCTCAAGTGGGACAGCACCTGCCTAGCAAGCATGAGGCCCTGAGTTCAAACCCCAGTACTGCAAACCCTCTCCCCCTGCTCCCCAAAAGTACACCTGCTACCCTGAGACATAAAGCAACTAAGGACTATAACTTGTATATTAAAACAGTGTTTCAAAAAAAGGAGAGAGGACCTATGTTCTTTCATATTTCACTACAAAGTTACACTCAGGAGAAATATACCAGGGTTTAGAAGACAGGAAGGGAACATGCTGGCATGTCAAGGGCAGCTACTTCATCTGTTTGCCTAAACTCCTCCCAGCAGTCTCACTGGAGACTGCCTCACACACCTGGCCTGAGGGCTAAGACTGCAGTATGGGGGCAGGGAGAACAGAGGGAGAGAATCCTCAAACCTAACATCTGGAATCACTACAATGACATATTAATGCCTTATTCTTAGACCAAAAACCTACCTCTTTTTGTTTAAAAGTTTCCCATAGCAGCACAAATTGATCCAAAACTATGATTTCATATATGAGGTCCCAATACACAAGGCTAATAATCTGCAGAACAAGTGGCTATGTCAAGAAATTTCTATCAGTATTCTGAAACGTATATGAAAATGCAGATGAGCTCACTAAAAAATTAAGTGACATAAATAGTAGAAAGTTAACACAAATAATGATAAACCACAGACAAGATCAGGGGAAGGTAATATGAAGTAAAACTTTTCAAAACATATCAAATTTATACAGAGGGGAGGAGATGTACTGCTTTGACTTGATATGTCTAATTCGTTACTTAAATAAAACATAAAAAATTACTAGTTAATTTTTTATTAGTAACTTTGATACAAAACATACAGTGATCCAACAAAAAGACTGCATTCCAAGAAACAATTTGGAATTCAAATTTCACAGAAAAAGAATTCTACTTTTTATTACTCATACTATTACTCAAAATAAGGTTAAACTAAGGCCAAGTAGTCATCAGAACTATTACCCCCTTTTCTCATTAATCAAGCAGCTATTTAAGAAAATAATTCATATAAATGTTTATAGTTAGCACAAAAAGTGCTTTATTTGGAAAGGAAAAGATAACAACATAAGTTGACAATAATGTTTAAAATCTCAACTGCAAGGTATGCCCAATAATCATCTAAAAGCAAAATGACTTGGGCAGATTTTTACGCAATTTATGAATGATTGCATGGATTGTCTAAAGATGGTTATAAAACTGGTTTTAGTCAGCTGGATCAATGACCCTCAATCCCCACAGACAACACAAGCACTTCAGATACCTTTTGCTGCTGTTGTTGTTTTTAAACAAAAAGAGCCTTTTCTTTAGAGCAGTTCTGAAAGAACTGAGCAATGCTGATGCAATCCATTAAACACATAATGCATATTTTCAGAATTACCCATATGAAAACACGTATTTACCAGATTGTGTAAATGACTGCTGTAGGGCAAATATACATTCTTTAATCTTAAAATCAGCATGCCTGAAATTGGCCAGAAAAATAAATGGGGCTATTACCATGGATATCAATTATTCCAAACAACACATGATGACTAATTTTCTTCTTTACTAGGGATATCTGAAAATGAAAGCATGGGTGTATGTCGAGACTTACACCCATGCCTCTGCATAGGAATGGATCACATGATTAAAGGGACCTCAAATCCTTGTGAACAGGAAGCAATAAAACTCACAATTTGGACAATAATGCTGAAACTGGCTGTTTCTCATAACCTCAATATAGTTTAGTGTCCAAGAATCTATTGTGCCATCTACAAAACAACAGAGCCAGGGAAAGAAGTTAGCCAAAATTTAAAGGCAAATTCTCAAGGTAAAGGAAAGCCCTTTGTGCTTTTTCAACCCTCAGCAAATCAGCGGGTTTATGTAAATAGAGCAAGAGTGCTCTCAAGGGTAAAAATCACAGTCTGTCATATCAGGCAGTTTGCCATCTTGAACACAAAGAACCTGTCAGCTTTTCCCTGACAGCCTCCTCACTGAGCACAGTGGACATTTATTTCACCTCGCAATTTAGCAAGCAGCACTACATGCCCTGGCATTAAAACTGTGTCACAAAACACAGGCAATGCTTAGCCATTTCTCTGTCCCAAGAAGAATTTTCCTCTCATCAATGTGTTTCCACCTATTCATCTTTGAAATAACTTCTCGCTCTTTTGCTAAGCATAGCAGTACTACTCTAACAGAATATGAATGTCTAACAGAAAACCCTTTACTTGAGAAAAAAAAAGCACATGTAAATAAAGTCGTTCTCACAAAGAGATTTCCCAGAGATACAGATGAGTAGCTTAGCAGTGAACATGGGAAGTTAACCCTCAAGACTGCTCTGCTCATCTTTCCGTTTCTCTTTCTCAGAATTCCTACAACCTTTCTGGTTAGAACCATTTCAAACAAGGTAACTGGTGGGTCTAATACTGCAGAACAAAAAGTTCACAAGTGGCTGGGCACTGGTGG